GCAATAAAAAAAAGTAGGAATATTAAATACAGAAATTATATACAAATTTTACAAATTTCCCCCTGGGGATGAATAACGTATATATCTATCTATCTATATTATTTGTATCATAAGTACTAAGAGGAAACTCAATGGCCAAATATGAAACTCAGCAGAAGATAGACCCGGATGTTAGCAGATAAAATGTGCTCAGAAATATTGAAAGATAGCAACCCAGTCACCATAACAAATTTTTATAATGTACGTTTTTGCAAACCTTGGAATACGTTGAATGTCGACATTTCTAAAAAATCTTAAATGCATTTCATCGCATCACGGTTTTAGAAACTTACAATGCCACGAGGTTAAAGATGTGAAACGATTTATTAGGTTCAGGCAACAAAACTACTTGAAGTTGACGTTGAAGTTGAACAAAACGTAACAACGTAACTAACATAATAAATACATAACAACCGCCCTTTACAGACTTTCTTGCGAACAAGCGTCAAAGTCAAAGTTTAGTTTTGGTTTTCGTTATACTCATTATTTTATCACGTAACTTTCAGTTGCTCAGTATATTATGTCACTTGCTCTGTGTGTTGCCTGTTGTACTGCATCTAAATTTAATGTATCTGTGTTTTTGTAAAAAAACAACATTTTTTTCTTGTGACAAAGCGTGAACCATGTTTCACTTGACAAAAGTGTCTTAGAGGCAGCAAGTAACATTATTTTTTAATGACCTAATTATTTCCTTAATTCATCAATCAATTTTTGGTTGTCGAAATATCAGGAAGTATTTAAAACGACAATTTCACAATTTTACATGTTCGCACAGTTGATGTTTTCACATTTTGGCTTATTTTAATTTAAGGGAATTTTGTTTGAAAAATACTTCAACTATTAATCCATGATTAAAACTCTTGCCAATTAATTTTCTGTAGATCGACTTATTCTTTCTACAGTGTTGTGTTTCCCGTCTGGTTAATTACAATATAGATTATATAGAACACTTCAGGTTATTCACACTTATGGTAACATATTATCTCAGCACTTTACTAGCAGTTTGACACCACAGTATTTGATGCATCCAGTCACCTGAAGTTCAACGGTTATATTGTAAAAACTGCATACCACCAGAAATTGAAATATGTACTTCTAACTACGTCCCGTGCAAGCGGCATGAAGGCAGTTCAAAGTTCACTTTGTTTAGCTCACATGGACATTCCATATTCAATGTTTCAAGGGTTGTGTGCAGTGTTGATAAACAGCCGCTGAAAAATGACACTGAACTTTGTGCTATAAATAAGTGAGTCAGGTATTTTCATGCATCTTCTTTTAACTTTATACATGTTGATCACAAACAAGCTTCACATTTTTCTTATTATTTTGCCTTTCTGTGGAACCTTTGTGCCATGCAAATCTACTGACTCATTATGTTGCAAATTAGTTTTTCTCTCATCCATGCTGCTCTCCAAATTCAAGTGCACAGTCCTGCTTCAACAGACCTCCCTCTATCCCCCCTTTGGCTATGTGTCTGTGAAGACTGAGCTAGTTTTAGAGTCATATTTTACTGATATGACCTTTGATCCCTGTCAGACAACCATGTACCTGGGTCATGTTTTGGGACAGGCACGTTGATATCCGTCTGCGTCTAGGTCCCGGGTCAGCGGAGTTCATGAGAGGGGGGGG